CGCAGCCGTGTCGCTCGCTCCGGCGGCGGGAGGGGAGAAGCCTAGCGTAAGAAAGGAGTTTGTGAAAGCGGCTTTGGGTGGGAGGGAGAGAGGGGAGGGGAAGGGACGGAGGGGGGAAGGGAGGGACGGGGCTGGAGAGGGGGGGACAAAATGGCTTTTTTTCCTCCAGACAAGAGTAGGTCCCGCCCACTACTCACCCACGTGACCTCATTCCTTCAGGGTGTTTGCAGAGTGGTGGAAAGGAGGGGGAGAGGCTCGCGGGGCTGTCCCCCCCAACTGGTTCTGGGCCCCCCAAGTCCAGATCCGACCCCTCCCTTCCCAAACGGCCCACCCCTCTGTGACTAAAGGATGAATCCTCCTCTGGGTTACCTTCAGCAATTAACGTCCTTCCCAGCCACCCCCCCCAAATTTGTATGCTCCCTCCCCTCTACTGACCCTGCGATCCCCACCCCGAGCTGGAACGCCCGGAAAATGGTGAAATGAGGACTGGGCTGCAATGTGGCTGGATCCGCAGTCCCCTACGTCTCCACCTCGACCAAAGGCTGATGGGCCTCGGGCCTCTGTGGGGGAACACGACGCCTCCGGGCACGCGTCTGGGTTCTTTTCATTCACTCCAAGTAACACTCGCTTTAAATTAATAAGTGCATCTGTAAGAGTGAGCTTGTCCTCTCCATCCCTTTTTTCACCCCTCTCAGCGGTCTCGAAAACACCCCGCGCCGGGGACCCAGCCAGGGCGCCTCGGGGATGCAGCTTGGCGCCCTGGGGACCCCTCTCTACCTGCGTGGCGCCGCGGGAGGAAAGGGGCGAGGTCTGTGTGCTCCGGCAGAGAAGAATAGAAACCAGCCCCGGGCTGGGCGACCGGCTGAAAACAGACACGGACACAATAACGCGGGCGAAGGCGAGAGGCAGGATGGCTAGAAAACGAGGCGCAGGGGCTCGAAGCTGGGCCCGCGCTTTTTCGTGCGCAGCGCCGGCTCCCGCATTTTCTGCGGCGCGCAGTGGCGAGGTGGCTGTGCGCTCTGCGCGCCACGCGCGCGGGCTTGTGCGCCTCCTTCGCCGCGGCGGAAAGGGCAGGGGAAGTGCCCGGGCTGCTGGTGGTGGCCGACTCAGACCGTCACTCTCGGCTCCACTGGAGCTTAGGCTCCAGTCCCCAGTGGCTCTGGCCCGGGAAGAGAGCGAGGAGGGACGCTTGGAAAAGGTGGGAGGAGGTCTGAGGCCGGCGCCGGTGCCACAAATCGATACTACAGCCACTGTCCGGGGCTCAGGAGGACAGTGATTCGTTCATTCGTTATTCAAGATCTATTAGGTCTGGACGCTGCGTCTACCGGTCCAAAGAGCTGATTATCCGGCCAGAAGCGCCATTAAGCGCACTGGCCGTGAGTGCTCCTTTGAAGACTGTGAAACGAAGCTTCAGAGCTTCTTCCTTCTCTTCCGTCCTCGCTCGCAGCTCAGAGGCCCCGGACTGAAAGCTTTCACCCTCTGGCCAGCGACCAGGAGACCTGCGGACACTGGCCGCCAAATGACCCCAGCTTCAGCCCACATCAGCTAAATGGGGCGGGGAGAAAGAGGATGGGCGAGAGGGATATCCGCCCAGACTGGGTGGTCCAGGAACCGGAGAAGAGCCTGAGGGATTCCGGTCACCTGCTCCCCTTGTCCCACCACTGGGAAGATAGCAAGTTTACTGTCCCCACATGAACACGCCCACTGTCACCCGGGCAGGTGTATTACCCGCATCCTAGACTTTTGGCTGAGAAGATTCCTGAATCCTCCTCTTGGCTTGAGCCCAGCAGAGGCTCCTTTCAGGCTAGGGACGGTGGGCGGGGGAGAGAAATCTTTAAGGGCTTTGGGGGCGATCTTAGTCCCACCAATCATCCACAGCGGACCCCCACCGGCTGGCCCTGAGAAACGGATCGGCCAGTGGGAAGGAAACTCTGTCCCTTTGCATCCTTACTTTTGCCCTTGAGTCCTGGAGGGTCGTCCCCAGGGGCCCAACGCGAACTAGTAGTTCATTCTCTTATTCTGCACTTATTAAACGCCACTAGAGAAGTATGCTGAAGACTCCACTACCTAAATTTAATCTTTAGCTCGTTTTTTCAGTCCACACTGACCAGCTCCCACATCACTAACCTCTGTTAATTAGGAGAACTTTCAGACCCAACCCTTCCCACACATGACATTCTTCCCGTCTCCTCCTGTTTCATTAACCTATGTGAAAAGCACCTGTCATGTGCCAACGTCAAACACTGTTCTAGGAGCCAGGGACACAAAATAGATGATCTGAGCTCTGCAGGATTCATAGACAGATGAGGGCAACCCTTAAGGATAAAGGGTTCAGTTGCTAATATTGCAAGAGTGACCCAGCCTTGCTAAGGATGGGAGCACTGGGGAGGGGCTTCCTAAACAGGCCTCCTTTAAGTTACATTTTAAAAAGAGATCTGGTAAAAAAAAAAAAAAAGAGATCTGGTATCAGCAGAGGGAACACTTAACAGGGAACTGATTGAGAGAACCCTCAGCTGCATTCATTCCCACAAATCCACCTGCCTGGCACCTTGCGATGGTCTCTGGATGACATTAGAAGTCAATGAAAAAAAAAAAAAGAAGTCAATGTTTCCTCTAGATTTTGTGTCACTTATAGGTCAGGGGTCCTCTAGGTAACAGTTTCTCATTTTGACTCACTCTGTCAGAAGAGAAGTTCCCAGAGGGCAGGAACCAAGAACATTTGGGTAATTATTGCCAGCACATACCAAAAGTTACCTCCTTACTTACTACCTCTGGGAAGGCCCTTAAAGATGGCAGTGATGGCCGCAAAGGGCGGCTCCTCCTTGTGACTTTCACAACTGTCTGCATCTCAGAATGGTCCGTGGTGGGAACTGACTCAGCCCCACCCGGACTTGGTCTTTTCAGGCTTTACCTTCATGTAAACCTTTCTCTCTCTACCCTAAAAAATGTCATTAATTAGTTTCTGTTTCCCCAATCCTCCTCCCTACTTTTGTGAGCACATTTGGGATGAGGAGAGTATTTTGCTACTGCTTTCATTTTTCTGATGTTCCTCATTATTAAATGCTTCTCTTCCCTCTTAGCATTTTCTCTGTAGGGCTTCTTCCTACTCGTCCTGCTTGTTTTATCTCCTTTCCCCCTTTCTCTCTGTGTGTTCTGGTCGGAATATCACAGCTATCTTCCCTTACCTTTCTCTTCATGCTTCAATTTGCCTCTTTGCTTTTCTCCCTCTCCGTAGGTGTTTTTTGGTTTGTTTGGTTCCCCCCACCCCACTCCCAAATATAATAAATAGATAAGGATTGCAACATCGTTTGAGGCAGAAAAGTGGGAAATTGTTCCGCCTATAGTGCAAATTTATTCTTACGAAAAATACAACATGAAACGTACCAGCACAATGAAACAAAAACCTCTGTCTTTGCCTTTCCTGCAATCTAGCGCTGTGGCTGAGTGAACAACGAATTCTTAACAACGATCTTCTAATTTGCTAAAAACCGTTGCTTCTATTCATTTTGGCGATCGGGGGGGGGGGGGGGGGAGAACCTCAAACAACCTTCTCCAAATTTTTTAATTGGAAAAGAACGGAATGCTCTCGGAAAAAGAGGAGAGGAAAACCACAGCGTCCCTGGGTGGGCTCGAACCACCAACCTTTCGGTTAACAGCCGAACGCGCTAACCGATTGCGCCACAGAGACTCAGATACCCATGTGGTGGCTGTGAGTCAAGTCAATGGGAGTGAGGCTGTGACGGCGCAGGAGCTAAGTCCGAATTCCTGCGTCGTGATAGAAAACGGGACATAGAAAAGGGCCTGGTACAGAGAAGCGTCGGGAGGGTAGGAGGCAAAATATACACATCTCTCCTCCTAGCCCGCAGGACTGTTGTCAGTTACCCCTGGAATCTATCTCCCACGTACGAAGAGTTAGAATATCCTTTTTGAGGGTGACCTGAGAATTGAGGACTTATGAAAACAACTGGTTGGGGATCCTGGAAATTGGGATAACCATCAAATCGCTCCTTCGCGTTTGAGCACCTGTCTGCGAAATACTCCAGACGCCCACCTACCTCTGGGTTATTAAATATGCATTTAATGGGCGCCTCCTATAGCTATGCACTGGTTTTGGCCACTGAATATTTAGAGTGTAGCATAATGCCTGCCATATATAATAAGCGCTTGGTAAAGATTTCAGAAATGAATAATTAAATAAGCCCGAATGGGTAAAAAGCCTGAGCGTACGCAACATGTTGATAAGCGCTACCACGGCCCTTTGCCGCGGGCCACAGATCGGCTCTCGAGCCCAGCCCCGTCCCTGTAAGTCCTCGCTATCCCCGCCTACATTCGGCTCGGGTCCCGCCCTCAGCGCGGGGGGAGGAGGAGCCCAGGGCTAGGATCCTCCACGATCCCAGCATGCACCGTGACGCAAATACGCTACTGCACTTACAGTGACTTTTCACTTTCAGCTTTTCTCTCGCTAGCCTTTGTCCTTTCAACTAAACTACCCAAAAGCCGGTGACTGACAACGAAATTGGCCAACCAGAAGCCCAAATACCCCGGAAGAGTCGGCCTTTCAGCTAATTGGAAAGAAACAGCAGGATAGATTACGCAGTGAGAACGGGAGCAGGTTTGCTGGAATTGCTGCGGCGATTAGGAGCTCTATTACACAGCAATCATGGTGAGATGTGGGTCGAAGAGAAGGGACAGAGGGTCGGGATTGAGGAAGGAGAAGGGCGCCAAGGGATCTTCGGGAGGCTTTGAGGTCCTGGTGATAGTCGTTGGGAGGAAGAGGTTGAAGTTTGAAGGGGAGCGGACCAAGGGGGTGGGTGTCGCTTTTTGCACAGGTAATCTCAACGCTGGAGTTCGGGGCGTCCAGCCGCCTTCACAGTGGAGGAATGGGGCATCGAGGAGCCTGCAGATCAGGGCCTCAAGCGACGGTCATGGCCATGACTTGCCTTCTCACTCTAGGCTCCTGTTCCCTTGTCTGCCCTAGTCTATTATGTCCTATAATGGAGGGGCCGTCATGGCCATGAAGGGGAAGAATTGTGTGGCCATCGCAGCCGATAGGCGCTTCGGGATTCAGGCCCAGATGGTGACCACAGATTTCCAGAAGATCTTTCCTATGGGAGATCGTTTGTACATCGGCCTGGCGGGGCTCGCCACTGACGTCCAGACCGTGTAAGTGTCAGGGTCCCTGCCCGGGTTTGCCTGAATGTTAAGTCATCTTAACACATTCAGTATTCGAAATTTTCACAGATATTTATATCAATTTGAGACGCGAGAGCTACCTGAAATTCAGGTACTAAGTTCAAATCTGTTCTGCTGGGAGAGCTGTGGCATTCTGCTCCTGTAAAGATTTTTGTGAAGATTGGAAACCCTATGTGTAAACCCCGTGTCCCACGAAATCACTGTGAATAGGTCTTACTTTGATATTTTGGGGGCAGAGTTTATAGTGATGCAGAAATATGTACTAACCAACGTTTTCTATGTGCAGGGTTCTGTGGAAAGCACTTTACATGCATCAAATTATGTAACCCCGTTAATAGTCTTGCCATGTTGTTATCCCATTTTGCAGATGAGGGAGAAATATCTTGTTCAAGATGCATAGCAATACATGTTTACATCTTGAACAAGACAGTTTCTCTGAGGCCAAAGCTTGTCCTTAAAGAACCAACCCATGATGAGTTGTACGTGTTAATTACCAGATTGGTTATGTGACTTAAAATAGAAAGAGGGTAGAAGGTGAATCAGTAGCTCTTGGTAGTAATGGAAAAGGAAAGTAAGAGGTGTCAGCGTTGTAGTTACTTAGATGTTTAGCCAAACGCACAGACCATGTCTTTATCATCTTTGTATTCCTGCTACATGTGGTAGGACATTGTCTATAAATATCTAATAGGCACTTCCTGCTTTGAGCATATTGGCTGAGATCTAGCAATTGGGAGGATGAATTTTGGAGGAAAGATGATAATTTTTTACATCATTTTGAGGTGACAGATCGAGCCAAGTACATCTTCCAAGCAGTTAGGTTTCTGAGGCTGTACATCTATATAGGAGGAAACCACCCATCTTTCTCCCATGGAGTTGCTGGTGTACTCAAACTGCAGACCTTTAGTTAGGAGTCCAGCATGTAACACACAACATCACAAACATTTGTTGTTGTTGTTGTTGTTGTTGTTGTTATGTGCCCTCGAGTCGCTTGCGACTCACAGCAACCCTGTGTCCAAGAGCCCTAAACACTGCTGTATCCTGTGCCAACCTCACCGTCTCTGACACACTGACTCCCACCACCCCAATCACAGAATTGATCCATCTCATCGAGGATCTTCCTCTCCCTCCCCTCTCCTAAACATGATGTCCCTCTCCAAGGACCAGTCCCTTCTTGCAGCATGCCAAAGTATGTCAGACGAAGCTTCAGAATCCTTGCCTCCAAGGAGCATTCCGGCTTCACCCTTTCCAGGACAAACCTGTTTGTTCTTCTAGCAGTCCATGGTATATTCAGCACTCTTCTCCAGCACCACAGCTCAAAGGCATCAATTCTCTATCATCCCTAGTCACTGTCCAACTCTCCGATGCATAGCACATAATTGTGAAGACTTTAACCTGGATCGGGCGCACCTTAACATTTAGGATTTTGAAATTATAGTTCAGGGATGGAGAGGCTTTGATTTGTTAAATGTATGTGACTACATTCTAGAGAGACAAAGTACATAGAGGCAAAAATAGGCTGCATTTCAAAAGCTGGACTTTCGGTTTAGTGAAGGAAGAGAAGATGAGGGAAAGAGTCAGGAGAGGCTTTCAAGTCCCAAGAACATGTAACTTTGAAGTCTTTCCTAAAATCTAACCTAACATGCTCTTTTGCCCTTGTCCTGGGTGGAATTAGATAATGATAGGTTAGCGTTCCCTCTAGCATGAAGGCTGCTGTTCTTCTCACACCATTTTTGTTGTCAGGCAGCATTTCCCAATGTGTTTGTTTACTTGGAGTAATTGCTTGTTTTGCTGTATTTCAGTTTTTTCACCTAAATGGTGAAGGTAAAGTCATGTCGAGGGCTCTTTCCAGGTCTGGTGTTAGTGGCTCATAGCTTTGCTTCTGGTAGATGTGGCTTTGGTCTACTCAGTGCAGATTCCTGTCTTGGGGGCTAGAAGAGATAGGGTCCTTTTCCCAAAGAGCTTCCAGTCCATGTGTGCAGCAGCTGCTCCTTTTTAATATGCGTAGGACTTTGCGGTTTTCCACGCCCCTTGTTATATACCCATCCCCCTGGAGGTTGTTTATTTTGTCCTATTTTCTAATGGATATCAAAGTTAAAGGGGAAGATGAAAGCTTAGCCTAGATCTGTGTTCTCTTATTCTCTGCTTTCTCCAGTATAAGATCTCTATGACTTTGTATCTGCAGGCATATACCTTATTAATGTGTAGAAGGATCGGTGTGGTTTATTATAGATAAATTGTACCTCAAAAAAGGAAAGGATCCAAGGGAGCTCTGGTGGCCTAGTGGCAAGAAGCTGCATTGCAATCCCAATGCGGTTTGAATCCACCAGATGCTCTGCTGGAGAAGGAGGGACAATCTCCTCCTGTACCGGTCAGATCTGATTTGATGGTACACACACAATAAAAATAATATTTTTTTTAAAAGGAAAGGATCCATTTGTACCCTCTCTTTACCCACCCTTGCCCCCTCAAAAGAAAAGTATAGAAAGAAAGGCTAATAAGGTAGACTTTTACAGGTAAAAAGTAAGGAGGCCTGCATATGGAAGTGATGTTGGACTATGCTGAGAATACTCAGGAGAGAAATCTCGCAGGGCATTAAGGTTGTATGGCTCTGAATGAGCTCTGGAGCTGCAGTCCACAGTGTGTTTCATGCTAAACAAAAAAAGCTGTGCGGCTCCATACTTGCCTCCTGACTTCCACAGGGTGGACATTCAGCATTGACTTACTGCTTCACTTTTTTCGCCCACCACAGCGCTCAACGCCTCAAGTTCCGACTGAACTTATATGAGCTGAAAGAAGGTCGGCAGATCAAGCCTTACACGCTCATGAGCATGGTGACCAACCTCTTATATGAGAAACGGTGAGTAGCAGTGTATCTTGAGACCCCCAAGACTCAACTCATCCACTTACTTCTGAGTCATTTCTCACTCATTGTGAGCCTCTGCCAGGTTTCTGAGGTTTGTAGCAGGTTCAGAGTGCTGCTTCTTTTTCTTGCAGAAAGCCTAGCAGATGTGAACCGCCAACCAGGGCTCCTTTGATAAAGGGCAGAGTGGCTGAATATGTTGGCAGAGGGAGAGGGAAGAGAGTCTTCCCTGCTCTTTAATTTGTGTGTGTGTGTGTGTGTGTGTGTGTGTGTGTGTGTGTGTGTGTGTGTGTGTGTGAGAAAAATTTGTATTTAGAATTAGCCCACTGGACTCAGTTTAGATGATCCCAGTTTTTTGGCAGCATCCAAAGTATCAGTCAGGAGCAAGTCAAATGTAGGCCTTCTCTCCATCAGGCCTGATCAAGGTGTTGTTGACCTTGGCTGTCAGAGAGCTTCTTCACATCTTGTTTGATCTGATGGTTGTTGGCTTTGACATCCACAATGAACCTAAGTGTATTGTTATCTTCTCTCTTCTTGGTTGAATCAGTGGTCAGGGGAAACTTGATGATGACATAGTGGTCAAGCTTGTTTTTCCCGGGGATGCTCTTTTTTTTTTAAAAAAAATTTTTTTTTATTATTTGTGTGTGTGTGTACCGTCAAATCAGATCTGACTGGTACAGGAGGAGATTGTCCCTCCTTCTCCAGCAGAGCATCTGGTGGATTCAAACTGTGCGCCTCTGGGATTGCAATGCAGCTTCTTGCCACTAGGCCACAGGGATGCTCTTCTGAGGTATTTGGGCTGCTTTCAGAGTCTCAGCATCTTAGGCCACTGGAAGGTGGGTGGGTGCAGATTTCTTTTTTTTGGTGGCTGTGGATGTCCTTCATGACTGCCTGCTTGGCCTTTAATTGCTTTGGTTTCCGTTTTAGGAGGGGCAGGGGCTTCCTTCTTTGCTTTCAGTGCCATCTTCATAGAAAGGCTCTTTCACTTTTTTTTATAGGACAGTATCTTTATGGACCTGGTACTTCTCAATCTACCCACAATCAAATAGACAAAAATGGGTGTCAAATCAAATGGGTGCAGTTACAGGGAGTACAAATAGCATATGAACTTGCCCTTACTCTGCAACAGAGCTTAGGAATTGGCTATGCTAACTTTGAATGTTCTCTTTAAGGATTTTGCAAAGAAAAAGTGGGGAGCCCTATTAATTGTAGACTTCAGTGCAGAGGGTGGGGTAGAATCAAAGGAAAAACCTGTACATACTGTCCTCATTCACCCTGGACAACAGAGGGTGGCAAGAATGCAGATGAAGTTATTTTTTAAATTTATGTTTAAGCTTATAATTTGAGAAAAGTACAAAAATAATTATCAGGTAACTTTAAATTAGAAGTCTAAAAGAAGGGGAGCTCTGGTGGCCTAGTGGTAAGGAGCTGCAACTACAATCCCAGAGGCTCATGGTTCGAATCCACCAGATGCTCTGCCGGGGAAGGAAGGAAAATCTCCTCCTGTACCAGTCAGATCTGATTTGACGGTACACTCACACACGCACAAAATAATAAAATAAAATTTAAAAAAAAGAAGTCTAAAAGAAACCCCCAAACACCAAAATTCTCAACCATCTCCATATGTGTAGCAAATTAATTGTCTTTATTGGTATTTAAAAATTAACAACAAAAAAAGGTAACAAAAATAAATAAAAAGGTTCCCAGTTTAAAAAAAAGTTAACAAAGATAGGGTAATGTGGTCTTTAAGTACCAATTAGTTAATATCCTCAGCTGTGAATTGTCTGCCTGATATGTGTGTGCATGATATGCATGATGGCCATATTTACTAAAATCCCAAATTAAAAGAGAGCATTGGGGGG